CCGCCGGCCGGTCCGCGCCCGCCGCAGACAAAGCGCCCGAGGTGCGAGCCCCGCGGGCCCTCCCCGCTCCCGCCGCCTCGGCCTCGGCCCCGCACCCGTCGCGCCCGCGTCCTGGCGGGGTCCCCGGGCCCCGAATCCAGCAACAGGTTTGCGTGTCAGCCTGGATTCACGGGGGTCCCTTTCCTCCCCTCTCCCCGGCGTCCCGCGCAAGCCCCCGCGTCCCCGCGTCCCGGCCCGCTCCTTTGTGTGCGCCCGTGGCCGCCGGTGCGGGACGCGGGCTGCAGGGCCCGAGCTCCGGGTTTGCCCGGAGGGCTCGGCTTCTCCGGGGCCTGCGGGCCGGTCACAGCCCTTCCAGCCGTAGACAGCCACAAAGGGAGGCCCGAGATACTTGACCGGGGTGCAAGGACCTGGGTTATCCGGTGTCCCCCAGAAGGAAGGACAGTCGCAGTGTGCTGAGCTCCGGAGGGGATGGTGGGTTCACCCTGCCTGCGCCTGGGGCGTGCAGACACTGACAGCCCCGTGGCTCCCCATGCTTTGACATCCTCTCACACATGGCCCTCACCCAGAGAAGTTGGGAGGGCTGCTGTGGGAATAAGCAGACAGCTGCTGTTTGACAGGTCCTTGCTGTCTTCAGGTTTGTCCGTTTCCAGCACAACCCACCAAGCCTGCCAGCAGTTTGACAAGCTCTTACATTAAAATTGTCACTCAGGGTACCCCCATGTTGCAAAATCCCCGTGGTTTTCTTTGGTTCGAACAATTTTATTTTTTTAGGGGGATGGATCTACCCCCATCCAGGATGAAATCACAATAAAGAACAATTTATCTTTGTTTACAAACCTTGGGTCTTGTCACACCTAGCTGGTTTCATTGGTCTGCTATTTTAGTATAACAATACTAAATGGAAGGAAAATATTTTTCTTTTGCTTTAGGCAATAAAATACTTTCTTTGTTCTAGAACCAGGAAGCCTTTATACATAATACTTTTTGTGGACAGAACTTGACGGCAGCCTTTACCCTATGACAAACAATGACAACAAGAAAAACTCCAAAGGAATCACAAAGCATTTACACTTCTCTATTGATTGTTTTTATATCCCAAATTCCAGGAAGTAATTTTGCTGAATATGTATTCAGACATTCCAGATCAAATTTAACCTTAAAAATTGGCCCTGCTCTATGAGATAAGAGTTTACCAGTATTTTAACCACTGTGAATGAGCCTTGGACTAGTCCATGGAAGAGATTAGAATGCAGAACATATAAGGAGGACAGAAAGTTGGGTCTACCTGGGTTTCAGGTCTACCTGGGTTTCAGTTGATTATCAGGTTCCTATAGGTATTTTAAACAGGTGAGCTTACTAATGACGTATCTGAAAAATCAAGAAAAAATATCACATTTTGATGTACATATATGTATATACATGTGTATTCTATAACGATTCACTTAGAACAAACAGTCTGGTAAGGTGTTTTTTTGTTTTTGTTTTTTGTTTGTGTTTCTGTTTTTGGAACAAGATTAGAGTAGATTTGTGCGGTTTCTCTTTTAATAAAGTTCACTTTATTAAAAACAGCATTCATTTGTAATATCCAACTTCAAATGCTTTGTTAGTTCCTGCAAGCAAACAGGGAAGTTAGGCCCTTTACTATTGTGCTGGTTGGTTTCTGTCATTTCAAGATACCTGGGAAGAGGGAATCTCAAGGAATTGCCTTCATCAGATTGGCCTATTGTAGCTAAGTCTGTGGGGGATTTTCTGGGTTAGTGGTGGGTGTGGGAGAGCCCCGATCACTGTGGGCTAGTGGTCTTAGCTTGTCTAAGAAAGCAAATTGAGCAAGCCGTGGACACAAGCCAGTGAGCAGTACTCCTCCGTGGCCTTCGCTTCAGTTCCTGCCTTGAGTTGCTGCCCTGGCTTCCCTGCTGGTGGACTGTACCTTCTGAAGAGAGAGAAATCCTTTCTTCCTCGGGTCAGTTTTGGTCAGTGTGGTATCAGAGTAACAGAAGCCTAATTAAGATCAGAGGAACAGGGCATGTTTGAATGAAAAGGAGTGGAAACTTAGATTTCTGTAGTAGCCTTGTTTGACACCTATATCTCATGCATGGTCACTCTTACAGTGCACAGTTTTGGAGTTTTTGTATATTCACATCACAGCCAATTCTAGGCCTGCACAAATACTCTGTGTCTCTGTGGGTTTGTTTGCCTTTTCTGGACATGACACAGATGGAATCATGTACTCCTTAATGCCTTAGTTTTTCACCAGTGTTCATCTACCTTATGTATGTACTGTTTTTATGGCAGACTAATATTCCATTGTATGGATATACTGAAATGTATTAATTTAAGTGTTGCTCATTTGGGTTATCTTTTCTTAGACTGTTTTGTATAATGCTGTGGTACATAATCATTTTCAGGTATTTTATGGCCATGTTTTCATTTCTGTTGAGACTGTACCTCTGTGTGGAATTCCTGGTCACATGGTGAATGTAGCTTTTTGAGGGACCTTTATGCTCTTTGCCGTAGCTTCTCTACAGTGGCATTCTCATCAAAAAAGCATGAAGGTTCTGTTTTCTTCAGTTAATTTAGTTTTGATGTGGTATTGGTGATGGCGTTCAGACTCTTACACGTGCAGACATTTTTCCAGCGGAGCCCGTATCCCCAAGGTTTCACCTTTTCTGTATCTTTCCTGGGGATGTTTTTGTTTTTGATGAGCCCTATCAATTCTAATGGCTGTCAGGTAATATGATTCTATTTGCATCTCTCCTTTTAATGTTTCTATTAGTATTTGCATGTTTTCTTTGGAGAAATATTTATAGTTTATGCCTTCACAGGTTCTTTCATTTCTGATCCCTAAATTGTCCTAGAAGGTAGGTTATATGTAGTTTACTGGTAGGTTCAGAGAGGTTCTATCATTTGCTTGTTTTTAAACATTATAGTTAGAGAGGGTGTGAGTATGGACTTCTGTCTTTTGACTTTACTTCCTGCATTCTTCTGCTTGGTGAGGCATGCAGATATTCCATTTTGCTTGGTTAATAAATGACAAAGTAGTGTGTGGGGGAGAATTAAACCAGATATAAGGAAGCAAGTGTATGAGCACAGTGCTTCGTTACCAGATTTTGTTATGCTTCTAAAGATAAATTGTGTTCTCCCACCCTAATGGAGGGAAGTTGTGGCTTCCTTATTTCAGATGGGGAAACAGAGTCACGGTTCTATCTGGTACTTGGTTCTTCATGCCTACCTGATCCTAGAACCCCATGGGCACTCTCTCAGACTGTTAGCCTGTAAATTCAGTGGCTTCTATTTTCCCATTAATTTATTCCCTTCAGGGCTAAAATAATTGAATGATTTTATACAAGGATTAATTTTATTTCTCTGGGTTAAACTGGAATTAAATTTTATTTTGGAGGGTGTGGTTTCACTTCAAAGTTTGGGATCTAATTCCAGCTTTTATGTATCCCTTAAAACTGATGTGTGGAGAATTCCCAGCCCCTTAGAAGCTGGGTGGGGACAGTATTTATTCTTCATGGCAAGTCCGTTGTGTAGTGTGGTGCCTCACACATAGGCAGGGACTGGCATTTGTCAAGCAAATGAGTACAAATATATTTATTAACTAGAACAGAACCTAATTTTTTAAAAATAAGATTTAGAAAGTGTGGCATGGATGAAAATCAGAAGTTGGCTGATATCCCTCTGTACCATGTCTTATGGAAGTGCACAGTCTGCTTGAGAGCCTACTGACTGGCCTGATTGTCACCGCCTTTACCCGGTGGACACACCAGGAGTTGGACCCTGAGTATCTGCTGAATGAGTGAATGAGCGTGTGAGTGGATGAGCAGCTGCAGAAAGTGAATAATTGGGCTCTGCTTTTAGTATATATTTTTATTTGTCAGCTATAGAACAAGCTAGTTCTGAGAACTGAAAGAGTAGTGAGAATGGAGAGCAGAAGCTGAATGTCTCCCTTCACTTCTTGTCTCTTTCCCGCCTTCATCTCTGCAGGCATCACACGTCCACACCTGTGTCTGTGCACTTGTTGTGCATGTCAACACATTCGCGTGACCTGCCCTACACATACAGAGCAGGGCAGTCACAGCAGCTTTTCTTTCACCGATGGGACCAGTCAGATGTAGTAAGACTTCCGAATCTGTGGTCACACGTGATACACCTAATGTTCACGCTGCCTTTTCAGTTTGTCCTTGCCTGATTTTGGCTTCCAGATTAAACAGAGCCTTCGGAGAGTGGTGGGGGCACTTTCTCTGTTTCCAAGCTCTGGGGTGGATACAGACACCTGTCTTGTCAATATGTGGTAGCTATCACCCGACACCCCTGGGGAACAGAGCACCCTGAG